AGAGAGAGAGAGAGAGAGAGAGACAGAGACAGAGAGAGAGAGACAGAGAGAGAGAGACAGAGAGAGAGAGAGACAGAGAGAGAGACAGAGAGAGAGAGACAGAGAGAAAGAGAGAGAGAGAGAGAAACAGGTGGAAAAAACCAGAACCAGAAAAGAGGGACACATAGAGAAAATGAGAGAGAAACCGAGACAATATCAGAGACAGGCAGAAAGAGAGAGACTGGGGCGAGGGGGTGAGGTCAGTGTTAGAACACGATCGAGAGAGAAGGAAAAAGGCGGAGATGAGGACAAAGAGATACAGAGAGAGACACCGAAAAGGCTGAAAACAGAGAGATGGATGGGGGAGGGAGAGAGGAGGAGAGAGAAAGCCAGAGACGCACTGCCCTGGCAGGCTGCCCTTTGCAGTTACTAGCAGGTGACTTGGCTGCCGCTGCTTGCTCTGAGCTCTTTCTGTCTTTTCCGGGTGCCAGGCCCCAGGGGAGGGCCAGCGGCCGCCCCTTTGCTTTGGCCTGGGTGCCTCCCTCTATCCTGGCACCCTAGGGTGGGAGGTGGCGTGGAGGGAGGCCAGAGCGAACGCGGGAGCGCCAGACACAGCCTGGGTACCTGCCCCGTGGGTGCGTGCGCTGAGACCGAGGAGAAAGTTGGGGCGCCTGCGGAGACGAGAAAGGTGAGCCCGTGGGGAGGCAAGAGAGGGGGAGCCGACCGGTGGGCTCATCGCAGAGCCCGAGACGAGGTGAAGGGCTCCCGCTCCTTTCGTGCGGCCGCTTCCCGGGGCGCCCAGCTGTTGCCCTAGACCCGCCTTTTTTCTCTTTCTTCTCTACTTCCCTTCCTTCCTTCTCTCCCTTCCTCCCTTTCTTCCTTCTTTCCTGCCTTTCTTTTGATCTTTCTTTCTCTCTGGTCCCTTTTTCTCCCCCCCCCCGCTTTATTTTTCTTCCTATCTTTCATTCTTTCCTTTTTTCTCTCCTTCTACTCTTTCCTACCTCCCATTTCTTCCTTTCTCATTAATCTGATTTTTGTATTTTTCTTTCCTCTCTCCTTCCCTTTCTCTCATAATTCCTTGTTTTTCTGATTTCTTCTTTCTCTGTCCTCCCCTTCCTGCTTTCCTTCCCCCTTTCTCTTTCCTTCATTTCTTTTTTCCTTTCTCTTCCCTCCTCTTTCTCTCCTTTCTTCTCTCCCTCCTCCCTGTCCTTCCTTTCTTTCTCTGTTGTTTCTTTCTTTCTTTTTCTTGTTTATCACATCCTTTTTCCTCTTCTCTCATTTCCTTTCTCTTTTCCTTCCCTTTCTTCCTTCTTTCCTTCTTTACTAGACTCTTTTTCTTTCTCTGTTATCCCTTTCTTCTTCATCCCTCTATTCTTCCATACAGGACCATGGAAAGAGCTCTGAACTAGGAGTCACAAGACCAATGTGGTTCCTTATGCTTGCTCTGAGACTTTTTTTTACTAATGTGGGACCCTGGGTGAACTCATTAGCCATTCTTGCCCTCACTTTCTTTATCTGTAAAATGGGAGGATTGGACTAAATGATCTCTAAGCTCTCTTCCACCTCCAGATCTATGATCCTCTCTCTTTTCTTTCTGTCTTTTTCTTCTTCCTTTCTCTATCCCTGCTTTTGTCCTTCCTTCTCTTCCAAATATGCAGGAAGTCAGAATGAATGTCATGGTCAATGATAGGAGATCTTAGCTAGTGCTGGCCTGATGACTGGTGGGATCTGCTGCCTGAGAGCAGGGAGGGAAGGAGCCATTCAGGAGCCCAAGAGGAAGTGATAGAAGGGAGGAGGGAACACAATCCCATAGTCCTTTAGACTTGAGGCTCCATGGTGGAGTGCTTGGAAAAGTCAGCCCTGGGCTGGAAGACCGAACCATTTGATTCACCAGGTGCAGGTGAAGGAGGCCTTCTCACTCTGACAGATGCAGCCCAGGGCTGTTGAGCCTAGTGCCTTCCTTCAGGTGGTGCTGAGTCTTCACCTCTCCCCTTCACCCACCCCCCTATTCCTCCAAGGAAAGCAGTAGAGAATACCCTGGGAGCCCCAGGAATGGGGTAGGGAGCCAGGGATCTATGAAACATGAGGGGAACAATTCCTAGAATGCCCAAGGCTGAGCTAGTCATTCACACTCACTATGCAGAACCTAAAAAGGTGAGGACAAGACTAATGGATGTGTCCACTTGGGGAGAGTCACTGTTTGAACGGGCAAAAGCAGCTACTCTGGGGACTTGAACCCCCAATGGGAAATGACTGTTTTGGAGATTGCTGTTTGGAGGTGACTATCTGCTATACTGATTTATATTTTGGGTAAAGGGAGGATAGAGCCAAGAAGGCAATGAATGGGGCAGATTCCGAGGTGCCTTGGAATTGGTCATCAGACCTGGGACGAGGGTAGAACAACTGGGCTTTGCCCTAGGCTGCCGATAAATGGAGAGGGCTTGCTGAAGAAATACAACTGAGATAGCAAAAATCAGTTTTTAAAACACAACCAGGGTGATGCTTGCCCTCCCCATCCCTACCCCCTTTTTCTCACTGACAAAATTGGACAGGGTGAACTCCTTTCCCATAGCCCATCCTGCTACCTCTCCTGAGAGGGGCCGTTTGGCCTCAGGGTCATTCCCCACAAGGCCTTGTGTTCCCAGGTTTGGATTTCTCCCAAATATCCACCTCACCCCACCCCAGGGCACAGTTTGCCTTTAAGAGTTGATTCAAGGGTGCATTAGAGTGTTGCTTACTTACCCGGAGTGTGTTTCCAAAGTACTTTGTATACCCAGAGCTGGGCACAAAAGAAGCTCTTCGTGTTTGTTGGATGAATGTGCCCCGAATTACCTTGACTGCCAGGACTACTCTTCATGGCTGTATTGATAAAGAAAGGGGCCGAGGGGACAGAGGGGCTAGGAGATGAGGGGGGAGGCGAGGGAAGCAACCCAGTGAGGTAATTAGTAATAAGACAAGGAGTATTAACCCCACTTTACAGACGGGGAAACTAAGCCTCAGGGCAGCAAAGTGCTTTGTTCTAGGTCACAGAGCTTGTCATCTAAAGCCCCTGTTATACTATTAGACAACTCTCAGCCTGGTGCCTGTCTGTAATGAGGAAGACTTCCACGTAGACAGGATCTCACGGGGACTCCACAAGAACCAGCCTGGGAAATAAGCCAGTCAGGGATTACCATTGCCATTATTTTATAGACCAGGAAACTGGGGTCTGGAGAATGAAATCACGTGCCAGAAATTCATTCATTCAACAAGCACTTATTAAGCACCCTACTGTATTGCTGTTCAGTCATTTTTCAGTCAAACCTGACTCTCTGTGACCCTATTTGGGGTTTTCTTGGCAAAGATCCTGCTGCAGTTTGTCATTTCTTTCTCCTCATTTTACAGATAAGGAAACTGAGGCAAACAAGGTTAAATGACTGGCCCAGAGTCACACAGCTAGGATGTGTCTGAGGCTGGATTTGAACTCGAGTCTTCCTGACTCCAGGCCCAGCTCTCTAAGCACTATGGTGCCCCTTGGCTGCCAGGGTACTCCCTGCCCTCAAGCAACTCCCATTCTAATGAGGGAGATTTCATCTGCCTGTCAGATGGAAGTCTTATGATTGTCAGGCCTCTTCTCTAATATCATCTCCACCGATAAAATCACATCTATTTGAGATGTTGAGACAGGACAGGGCCAACGGCTCTGGCGGACAGGGCTTTCCTCTCTGGGTCTTCAGTCACTGTGGACACCCCGGAGCTGTTGCCGGGCTGCTTCTCCAAGGGGCTGCGTCTCCAAGGGGCTGCTTCCCAGGCTGATGCTGAGGACGCTGGGCTAGAAGCCAGGCTCAGGGCCCTGGGCTGTCTCCCCCATAGTCTGAAGGGAGATGGTGGTCAAGGCGACGATGCTGTTCTGACTTGTTGGCACATGCTATATCCTGTCTCATCGTAGGAGGGCTTTGCTGATGTGGCTAGCCTGGCACCTCTGCCCCGTGCATAGCTGATGCTCAGCAGTTGGTAGGGATGACCAGCCCCTTCCCCACAGGACTTCGTTGCCCAGATAATGGCTCTGAGGGCTGATCCAGACTGGTGGTCTTGGTAGCTGCCCCTTCCAGGGCTCCTGAGCCTCCCCTCCCCTTAGTGGTAACCTGTCAGCAACTGTTCCTGGTGGTGATGAGGAAGATGCACCCCATCTCCCTTTAGCATTGCCTGGAACACTAAGGTTAAGTGATCCCAGCCCAGGATCCCAAGCCCATATGTGTTAAAGGCAGGATCTGAATCCATATCTTCATGATTCAAGGTAATATTCTATTCCTTGAGCCAGGAGTAGTAATATTTGGTGCAGATGTATAGGCTCTCTCCCCCAGAAGAAGGTAAGGATCATCTTCTGTTTTCTCTCTATATGCCTGGCTCCTAATAAATGCTTATCAATTGATTGTGAGCCAGGGCTACACCTGCCCTGTGACAGTGGCATTGCCCCAGTAATATGTGCAGGGAAGACTAAAAGCCCCTTCCTTCCACCAGAGATTTGTGCACTCGAACTCAGACCCCTTGGCACCAAACCTGGTGCTGTTTGCCCTCTGCCTCTCTGCTAGATCTGCTCCCTTCTCTCTATAATTCAGCTCATGGTCCTAAGCTAAAAGGAGCTACAGGAGGGGTGGAGAATGATTTGAGGTCATGGGCCACTGCCCAAAGGACCAGATCCTGGGGAGATGTTTTAAGAGTTCCCAGTTGAGCTTCTGAGGACAGAGTGCCCCCCAAGCCTGGCTCTTCCTCCTCCCAATCCTGCCTAGAAGCAGCTGTCTGCCTCCGGGTGTTCTGGTTGGAGGGCCATGTGTCACTTCAATAAACAATTTCAGGAATAATCCTGGACAAAGAGATGTGTTCCAGCATAGAGTGGAGAGCTCGCTGGATCTGGGGGCACAGGGCCTGGATTCAAAATCTGACTCTTCCATTTACTAGCTGTCTCTTAACCCCTCTAGGACTCAGTTTCTTCTGATGTAAAATGAAAGGTTAGGCTTAGGTGATCTCTGATTCCAGGTCAAAAGCTGAGAGTCCACTGGTCCCCAGTTTCCTCATCTGTGTAATGGGGAGAGGGAGAGGGTACAGTGAATGATCTCTGAGGTCCCTTCTGGCTCTAAATCTGTGGTCCTGAAAAGCTTCTCTTCTCTCTCCTCTCCTCTGTCCTTGAAATCAATTCAATCCCATTCCACAAACATGGATTAAACTCCTGCTTTGTGTAAAGCCCTGGGGAGAGAAGGCTTCAGAAAGGTCTTCCTGCAAGCAGTGGCAGAAAGACCTGTACACGGACACTATTTCCCTTTCTTCTCTCCTCCTAAGAATGAAGAAATGCTTGTTCATAAGACCGTCAATTTGGAGCTGGAGGCCAGCTTGTCCAGTTCCCTGATTTTACCAGTTAGGAAACTGAGACCCAGAGAAATAATCTGCCCTAGGTCACATGGGGAGGAAGGAGAGGAAAAGGGATTCAAACTTAGGGTAGCTAGGCGGTGCATTGGATAGAATGCTGGCCCTGGGGTCAGAAAGACTCCTCTTCCTGAGTTCAAATCTGGCCTCAGACACCTACTAGCTGTATGACTTTGGGCAAGTCACTTCTCCCTGTTTGCCTCAATTTCCTCATCTGGAAAATGAGCTGAAGAGGGAAATGGCAAATCACTCCATCATCTTTGCCAAGAAAACCCCAAATAGGGTCAC